GTGGGGCAATCATGTACTATGGACACATTCTTGTTCAAATCCTTTATTAAAGAAGTTAGTAAATTTACTTCAGATAAAAATACTAAATTAGACGAACCAATCTAATTAAAAGATATTTCTCTGATTTCGTTATACTTTATATAACCTTTTTGTATGAATTTTAATAAGATAACTGGACAAACGCGTTCAATCTTCGGACTTAATTCTTAACAATTTAATCGAGTGGAGCGACGCGAAAAAAAATAACGTATTTCAAGCCAAATTATATATGTATGCTATACACACAAATTTATTGTTTTAACTTTGTAATCAATTAATCTCAAATACAGTCCTAGATAATCAAATAATCATGAAATATTTGGTCTAGTAATCAAATAATCACTACAAAAACGGCCAAGTAATCCCATAATCAAAAACCCCATGAGGAATCATTAAAGATGACATATTTTTGTATTAATATTGATTCACTTATAAGGTCTTTGCATCGGAAATACACTAATTAATTCTAAAACCAGTTGTTGGCATAATACGGGTCATCTTCGTCACATTGACATAATTTACTAAACGTTTATTTAAACCTGTAATGTGAAGACGTGAATGAAAATGCGGAGTTTGTGAGACCAGGTTCAAGCAAGCAGCCACTCGCTAGCAGCCACTTCGCTAGCAGCCAGTTTTCTGATGTTTATATAAACCCAAATGTTGCATAAGATTCAAACGTACTGCAATTGTTTTTATTAATATATAACCACTATATTATTAGTTTTTAATATATAATTAAGCAGTCAAAGACACTATTCAATGAATTTCAAAATTTCATTTCTTGTTCATTAATTATATAAATACAATAGAAATCGCTTTCAATACATCACACAGCATGCTGCACGCTTTACATTTCAAATAGTCAACACTTTTGAGTGTATATAGAATCGTGAATAATTATGAAATTATTTAAATGTTGGCAAAATTGCACTATTGTGTGAAATAGCTTTCCATATTCTCGGCATCCTGTCAAATAGGTCATGAAAAGTAACAATTGTTCTGCATTAGAAGAAAAAAAAGTTGCACTCGTGCTTTAACTTTTTTTTTGCCACACAAAACTGTTTTGACAAAACATTCTACTTCAGAAACAGTGGATTTCTCTTACTTACGATTGGACGAAAGGTTTATTTTTTGTACTCAAAGTATGGTTGGCAAGGAAATTATTTATTAATTTTAAAAAATAATCCGTGCTATACCCAAACTGGGAATTTTGATAAAGTAGGCGCTAGGTCTCCAGCTTAAAATACCCTGTGTTTTTTCTACTGTAGACCTCAGCTACTAAGCTTCCCTTTGACTTAGTGCGGACAAAAGTATTGCCTTAGAATTTTTTTTTATCAAATTTTCGGTAAGGGTGGGGTTGTGTGTCCGCGGACCCTAACTTTGGACCTACTTAAAAAAAAAAACTATGACGAATAACACCCTGGATTTTTTTCTCCAGTAGACCTCAGCTATCCAACTTCTCTTTGCATCTAGTATTACCGTAGATTTTTTTTTATTAACTTTTCGGTAATGGTGTGGTAGGGTAGGTAGCTGAGGTCCACTTGAGAAAAAAACCAGAGTGATGTTCGGCTTAGTCTTTTTTTATGTTGTAATAAGCTGGCAAATTATGAAAGCTCACGTCTTAATTGATAGGCATAGAAATAAAAAGAAAACGTATGATAACCAATAACAATCTACCGGAGACAAAATAACGTTGGTTTAGGCAACTAGGATGATGGTCTGGATACGGGGTTCTTCATTTCTGTATTCTTTGATATTCTATGCCGATTTTCTCTATTCTTTATTCAGTGTTTCATGGCCATTTTTCTCTATTCTTTATTTCTTTATACTTTTTGCCAATTATTCTGTTCTCTTTATATTTTAACACCTCATTATTCTATTTTTTTTTATTTCTTGGTCCATTGTCTCTATTATTCATATTTTTTGCCCACTATTCTCTATTCCGTAAACCCCCATCCACACCCAGGTTCTAGTTAAGGTCACCATATAGATTTCAAAAATAAGCAAAACTAATACCGAGTAGGCTCCGAATGGCAAAATGATTGAATGCTAATCCCGGTTTGAATTGTGAAATTGCGGAAATTTGTTTTTCAATCAATTGATCAAGCAAAACACATTATCGTCCTGAATGTTCGTATAATGGACCTTGGTCATGAATTCTAATCATCTGAGATCAACCTTTCTAAATTTAAAAGTAAAGATCACGCACCCTTATTGTTCAGATTGATAAAGTCTTTTGCATCCGTCGACATTATCTTCGATTAAAGATCTGACAGTGACTGTGCATGTATACTTTAACGACCGGGGTAGTTTTCTTATAAGTTTTAAAAAGTAGTAACCTCCCTTGTTAATGTGATGTTGTAATCAATCTATTTATTTGTACCATCTTTATATAATATTGTATTGTACAATTTAAATTTATGATTTGTTTAATATTTAAATATAATAATTTATTTTTTATTAAAGATATAAACAAGGTAATTTGAAAGGCTTTGATTCATTTATCACCGTAGTTCAATTCATAAGTCAGGCGGTCTATTTTGTCTACATTATGTTGAAAGAACACCGGGGTGTTTACATTTGCATTATTTACTATCAATGACTGTAAAACAAGAAAGGAAAACATTGTACATTATAAAACGAGAAATAATTAAAATTAAATACAAAATTCTTGTTTAGTGAAATCAAAAACGAAAAACGGAAACACTTTTGATTTTCATTTTGGTTTTAGAGAAATCAAAAACAAAAAATGAAAACACTTTCGTTTTCCGTTTTGATTTTAGAGAAATCAAAAACGAAAAAATGAAAACACTTTTGTTTTTCGTTTTGGTTTTTGAGAAATCAAAAACGAAAAATGAAAACACTCTCGTTTTTTGTTTTTTGTTTTTGATATTTCAAATGAAAAACGAATGGACGCAAATATACACGGACCAATCACCCCTGTTTTATGCATTGATGTACTGAAAAAATTATTGGCCTATGCAAAATATGCGCCAAAATAAAAGAAGAAAAATCACCAAAAAATGAATATGCAAATTTTTTTATTTTTTATCTGTTTACTCCAACTAGACGATTAAGTATTGATGTGTATTGCTTCAGAAAAAATTGACGAATATCTCTGCTATTTCCCCACAGTTATAACCTATAATAAATTTCTCTGAGTTGCTGAATAAACGAAAATGAACATCATATATTTAATAAAAAAAAACAAACTAAAAGCATATATAGAGCAGTGATGGAGAACATATGTAAAACATCAAGTGACAAAAAACTAAAAAAAAATCGATCGTTTACTCCGAGTGATTAAAATTTAATATAATAGCTACACAACGCTTTCTTAAACAATATATCGCTTGCTTTATCTATTTATTGCTTGCTAGTCTCGTTGATGAAAATCTTACCATATTTATATTTGTTATACCTTAATCCGATTTTAAGGGTAATAAATTTTTATGTATGTGCACTCATTTTGGATTATCCATTAACACGGATCTTATCGTTTAAAGTAAGGTTTATTTGTATCAGTTAATACAATATATAAGGGAATCTAAGTTAACAGAGTCGTACACCTAACTAAAACAAACTATTTCATTTCGCTAACGACGAAGATCAACTGAAATTATCATTTTCAGCTGTTCTGGTTGCCACTACAAACAGGTGGTCGATTCTGTATTTCAGAGTTTTAACTAACGAGAGTAATGTTTTACCGTATTCGGTCTTCCAAATACCGATTATTTTCGATCTTTTTTACAAACTTTTTTGTCATGTTACGTGGCGTCATATTGATATTTGACAGAAGATTGCCATTACACGATGACCGATGCATGTGCATAATTGTATGCTTAACCCAATCGATGCACATTGTCTTTCTGAGTTTAGAGTTTATTGAATTTTATGTTTTGACTCCAAATTGTTATCTCTCTTGTGGTAAATGATAATAATCTGATTTCGATTTCCTTTCTCAATAATCTATCTCACCACTTTATTGGTGAGATCTCTTGTGTCGGGTTAAAATGGTCAAATTCTTAATTCAGTTATGACATTTTTATCTTTTTTAAATGTAAACTAATGATATCAAAATAGAGATTTACAAATTTTTACCTTATAGGATCAAGATATCACATCTTGTAAATTTTGAAATGTATAAAAATGAGTCAAAAACGACGTAACAATATTGTCATCAAGCATTGCTGATACCATGACGATAAGTTTGTAGCTGAAAAGACCATATGAAATAAATAAGAATCCCATCAACAATTGTCGCTATCAAGTTAATTGAATACGTTAGCCATATGTTTGAAATTCGAATCACGTATTTTTGCACAATCATCAAACAGTTTTATTTTCCTGTAATTTCTTAATATAAGACCCATAAATATTTTATTTTTATTTAAAAAAATGTTACATCTATAGTGATAATAATCAGATTGGATTGCGCGTCTGGCGTACATAATTAGATACCTAGTATCTATGATGAGTTTATTTACAACCAATTGGTCGATGACACTCCTGTTTGAGGTTCCATCCCATTGATATCACCAGCCAAGTAGTCAGCACTTCTGAATTGACATGAATTATCATTGATAATATTGTCACAATTATAAATTGACTGTTTACAAAACTTTGATTTTTTTTCGAAATATTAAGGATTTTCTACCCCTGGAATTTATTATCTTAGCTGTATTTGGCAAGACCTTTTGGAATTTTGGATTCTCAATGCTCTTCCTTCTTTACTTTATTTGTCCATTTTAATTGTTTTATTCGATTTTGATATTTCACTGATGAGTCTTCGGTGTCTGGCGTACAAATCAATTTGAATCCTTGTATATATGATGAGTTTGTTTGCATTATGATGGAATGTAGCTCGGTATCATTATGCAATCATACTTTGACGAGAGAGAGAGAGAGAGAGAGAGAGAGAGAGAGAGAGAGAAAAGTATTCAAAAGCCTTTTATATTTACATGATTTATTATATCATAATTAAAATATAACAAAATTCACTACATTATACAAGAGATGCAACTATAATGTATACATTTTAATGTAGATTAACTTTCCATTCTCTGCAGACATGTTCTCTTTATTATCTCCTAGCTTAATCTAAAATATAACAAATATGTTTTAAAGTACTTTAATATGTTACTCATTGCAAACCATTTAATGGACTTGTATTCATTTGAATTCCTTTTAGCAAACAAATTTAAAAACAGTAAGATCTTTATGTAGAAATTTTAGTAAAAAACTAAAGGCGAAAGATTGCAAAGGGACATTCAAACTCATTAGTCGACAAAAAAAGATAACGACGATGCATTTAAAAGGGACAAACTGACATACAACAGTATACAAAACATAACATAGAAAAAGTATTTTTCCTTAAAAAGGATGGAACTATAAAACAAATATTTTTTTAAGAACGCTTTGAAGTTTTTATTTGTCTATGTTTCAACTCACTAGCAACATATTTTCGTGGTCTTAGATCTTTAGATACTAGAAAAGTCGTTTGATCTGTAGTTGTGCCGTTGTGTCCTGTTTCCGATTGTGACATTTTGACTGAGTGTGTATTCGCATGGCGGGTGATACATGCATAGCAGGAGACGTTTACCATGTCGACACACCCGGTCTCGCTACATTTGGAGTAATGCTATTTCCCTAAAATTTTGTTTGTTACAAGGAGTTGTATCTTCTAATCGATATCGAGATTTGAACATCGGTAAACTGTTGGCATAATTTAAGGTTCTATGAAATTTCCAACGGCATTTGCACAAGGTATAATGTAAATCAAACAACACTTGATGTTTTTACACGTTTGATATTTTACCGTCAATTTTCAGTACTTATTATATTACTCAGTAAATTATAACACCACAAATGACTTTTTCGGAATATTTTAGAAAACCCGTTTGTAAGAAATGATGGCAGATTAATGTTTGTAGACATATTCTGTATTAAAACTGCTTTCTTATCGTTTTACTATTTACTACATTTTTTAATCTAATTCAAATGATTTTAAATTCCCTTTCAACATTTTGTGTATTACACAAATTCAACCGCATTTTTGCATAGCTTATAACATAATTAGTATTCAGTGGTCTTCTTTCCCGTAATTGATTTAACCTTCAAACTGCCGTGTGTAGCCTGGTACTTTTGGTGAATGTTTTTAAATATCAAGTTTGAAATAAACGAAACTGATGCAACACTTTATAATTTTACAATATTGAACAACTGTTTACAAACCTTTTCTGCGGATGGATTTTTCTGTCTTATTACTTGGATTCTCTTGAATCATTCTTTGAAAATATATTTGGTATCTGGAAAGTAATTAGGTGTTCTATATATTATCATTTTAGAATATTAAATTTTCTGTGTATTATAATTAGATTGGAAATAAACATATTTAGATCTCCCGTCAAGCCTGGATATCAATTCTTTGGTTGTCAGTGGGGTTCGTCTTTAGTTGTTATGCATTGTTTTATATACTATTGTTGATGTTTTTCCATGTTTTGCCATACTTTTGTCCGTCTCTCTTTGATGAATTTTGATTTTCCTTTTGGTATCTTCCGCCTCTTTGTTAAGAATTAAGAGCCTAGCTTGGACATTGAGTAATATTTCGTCCCTGATGATGTCAAAACTATTGTTATTCTAACTGTAGTTAGATATATTGGCATGTTTACATATTTGTATGCTTTTAATTATGTTTAAGTGTTAAAATTATATGGCTAACGTGTTTTGCAGCGAGAACAAAAGAACACAATACCATTTTTCGAAAGATGTGAGGATCAATAATTAAGATTTTACTTTTTTTCTTATTTGATTACTTTATGATAATAGTCTGAAGTTTTTAAACCGCTCTGACGTTCACAATAATTATTTTACAGATATAATATAAAAAAGGAGATGAGGTATGATTGACAATGAGACAGCTATTCACCAAAGTTCAAATAAAGTGGATGTAAGCAATAAGCCTTGTATCTTTGATAAGTTTTTTCGCTAAAAATTCTCAGTAGAATTTAATAATCGTATTGGACACTCCACCAAAAAGGGTTGTATTAGAGATTGAAATATGAACCAAGACCCCACAAAAAGATGATTTTTTTCTTCTTTTTTTTCACTGCATGATTTCTTAATATCTTGATAAATCAATGATAAAAGTGTATGTTTCAGCTAAAGAACGTCAACATATTTTGATCTTCTACTCTTTAAATAGAAAGTTAATGTTAAGGTAAAAAAATACTCCTATCATACAGCTCAGTTCTAGAATAAGTTCCCAATACGTGCGTCTGATGTACCAAGTTATATTGTCGTTTTCGTGCACAAATTAATGTATATTGATTTTAAGAGAAACGTGGTGAGTTATTTGTGTTTAAACTTGTCCAGGTTTTTGCTTTATTTTAATTAGTTTTATATCTTTTTTGGTTTTATCAGGTCTTCAATGTTTATATTAGGTTTAAGGACTTTTGGCTTCAAACATCATTAAAGAGACATTATTTGTCGAAATGCTCATCTGGTCCATAAAAAGATTTATTTAGATATAACCTTTCCTTTCAAGAATTTCATATATGTGAATCACATATAGGTTACAGCAGACATTGCTTCATCTTTCGACGTATCTAATATCACCCTTTTAAATTCAAGGCCTTCCGGCAGTTTTCACTTCCCTGTCTGTTTATTCATTTGTACTTGTTTTCCTGAGTTTTTGAAAGTTGTACTAACATTGCTTTCCTACTTTTATTTGAAAATTTTAGAGAGAACAGAAAAAATAGTAATAATATACTAAAAAATTGTCACAAACTTACGTTGTTCTATCCATTTCGATGATTATTTTTCCTGTCTTCTTTCTTTGATAAGCTTTTTCAATCTTTACATTTATATCATTTGGATACTTTTTCCACTCAGAGCCTTCCTCATATTCCCAAATGGCACTCACTTTTTAAATAATGCGTAATAAAGTAACATTGTATGAGAAAAAAACAGTTAAAAGTTTATTCACGGATGCTAATGATATTGTTCACCATAAAACCAGAAGATAGAAAATGCAAAGGCGTCTAACTGAATGGAAAGCTTCTTCTCGACAACTGAGAAACAATTTAGATTATTTGGATGGGAATATCGTTAGACTGAAGACGCCAATTTTACTTTACTGTTCGCAAATTTCAATTTATTCATTTCGGTTTCTACCTTGTTTACTACTATCCTACTACATAATTTTAAAAAGTTATGTTTGTCATCGTGCACGGTTAAAAGATTTCCATTGTGTAACAATTTTTGTTGATTTAACCTGTTTTAACCATATGAGAAGTAATAGATATGTTTTCGTCATTAGTAACTAAATATCTTGCATTTACTTAATTTTTTTGGGTGGTAAATGTATTTACTTGAAAATAAATATATTTGACTTTTAAACAAATTCTCACGATGTACTGTTGTACAATGATGTTGTGTCTGTAATTTTTTTTATTGCATTTTTGCATCGTATACACAATAATCATCTTGTCATTTAAATTACATATATGAAAAATGTGTGCTTTAGCAACAAAAAAAGACCGATGAATGTATATTACAATTTATCTTACCTCCTATACATTTCTAGGAATATGATTGGTTAAAAGCGTCCGCGTGGAGACCGTGTATATTCCATATTAGGTTAGTAGGGAGGCGGGGCCTATTTGTATACACGGTTAGTAGTGGTGTTACGTCCCTTTATAAAAACAAAACGGTACTGAGAAAAAATCTAAAAGGTTTTAACAGACGAAGAAATTGATGATGAAGATTAGATAAATTCATAAAACACATTTAAACCTAACAAGTTGTTATTGTTGGCATCTGTTTTTGTAGGATCAATGGAAGTAGTTTCTTAATGCTAACGGTATTGCAGACTTGCTCATTTTGATAAGTCACTAGTCTAGATTTCACACGTTAAGATAGTCGGTTAGATAAACACGTTACATAGTGTGCTAGTGACGTAATACGGTATATATGGGGTCAGTAAATTCCATATGGGGATTCGAGCTTCGCTCTCACCCCATATGGAATTTACTAACCCCATGTATACCGTATTAGGTCACTAGCACACTATGTAACTAATAATATAGTTCATAGCATTAAAAAAAAACGCACGAGTTAGGTTCCAACGATGTGTCCTTAATGTATACCAATTTGCTTACTATATCTATTACAAGTAAACAGTCTTTCTTGCACAAAAAACAAATGAAAAATTAGAAAATCGAACAAATTGCAATTATTCTTCTCTGTTTCCCATTTTGACAGACCTAGATCCGCCAGAAAGAGTATTTGTAAGTAGCTTTGTTTAAAATATTTCGAAACGGGATGTAGGTACTAAAGTTACATTGCTGAAAGAAACAAAAAACGCAAATTAAACTAGAAAGGAAGATATTGTCACGTGTCCAAGTAGACAGACAAACAAGAAAATATGTATACAAACAGTTAATTCCTAAAGGTAGAGCCAGCCCAATCATAAGCAGCAGTAATATCATATGCCATTGAAGTGTAAGAATATTTTTGTTCGCTTGAATCAACCATTGTATTGTTTCTGATCATTTTCGGTAATGAGTCAAAATCGACAAAGGGAAGAAATCATGTTTTAAAATATGGAGATTAGCTATTATTGGTGATTAGAAGATTATCTATCATAGAACAAAGAACGAGGACGAAAAAAAAAATACAGGTCACCATCTGGCCGTAAAAAAAGAGCAAAAACAATAGTGTATGGCATGCTATAAAAATCCCATCAAAAACAACAACAACAAAAAAGAAGAAAAAAAAAAGAAACAATTAAAAATGAACAAATGACGGCAAAAAAAAACGGCAAAAACTGAATGACAGGCTCGTTGTTTTGTACCGGCATTTTAAAAATATGACACAGCGCTATACCCTCATTCAATAGCCTGGAATCATTGTGTTAGTGGAATACATTATGTCAAACTGTAAAAGGGTTGGACTCATAAGGTCACTAATCACAAAAACCTTACAAATTGACAAAAAACACGAAGTACCGGTTTAATGCTGTATCTATCAGGAATATGCCAGTTGTTTTACACTTGTTCTGTTGGTGGGTAACGTTTGATTTCGTTTGTTTGTTTTTTTTTTAATTTACATGGGAGTTCGATATTTTTGTATTTTTTTAAGATAACTTGCTGTTACCAAAAACCAGTTTAAAGCTCAATTTCAATTAAATAGACCGTGTTGGTCCATTCTACAATATCAATATGGAAACATTCAATAAATTAAGTATTAACACAACATAAAAAGTCGCAGATGAGCAGAACCTTCAGCAATGAAAAAAATACAAGTATCGGATGGATGCAGGACAATAAGTGTTGATTACAGAATATCAACATAGGTTTAGTTATGTATGTATTAAAAGTAAAAATAACAAAAATACCGAACTCCAAGGAAAATTCAAATCGGAAAGTCCCTTAACAAATGGCAAAATCAAAAGCTCAAACAATCAAACGAATGGAAAACAACTGTTATAAACTGTCATAAACTCTTGACAATAAAATAAATTTTGGAACCTATAAGGATAAATTTCAAAGATCGTAATGAAAGATCTTAATTTTTAAAGCATTATTACCTGTTGCATCAGAATATATCGGAATGACGTAATCCATTGGTTCTTGTGTGGCATTGGCTCTGGTTGTTCGGAGTTTTGGTCGAAGTGATTCATTTTCTGATTCACTGTCCGAGGTGTGTGGACTTTTATATTCAGATCTGTATTCATTCCTTTTACTCCTACTCCTAACAGGTGCACCACTTCAAAGAAAAGCCAATAACTAAAATTTTAGCTTATTAATAATGTAAAAATTAAAATAAAAATAATACCGAACCTCAAGGAAAATTCAAAACGGAAAGTCAATGTAAAGTAATGTTACATAACGGGTTGCATTGATCTTACTACAAGGTTCTGCAGATTTATCCGAAATTGTTTTCAATGCCGTTTGTTTAAATAGAGAATACACCAAGGGAGAAGTCGGAGAAAAATAGACAAAACCATCATGCAAAAAAAAAAAGAGAAGAAAAAAAAAACGAATAAAAACCCACTCCATTACACACAAATGAAGTAACGAATTAAGAAAATTATTTTTTAAGCTTTGATCTGAGTTTGAAATGATATTGCTGTAAATCCATCACATGTTTTTTTTCTTCTTTAAGAAATAGAATTTGATTATTCAGTATTCACAAGAAGTAGTACATTTAGAACTAAGTAAAAAACAACAATGAATAAGAAAATAAATTTTCGTGGTTATTACTACAATATACATTTGTATTCTCTTATACATTACACAATAATTGTGATCAATTTCACTCTTCATTATATTTTCCCACTGAAACAACTACCTTATTGAAATGTGAACCGTTTTCATTTTTCCTTTTCTTATTAGCAGAACTATTAGGAAAAAGATTAAATACCCCGAGAACTCATTCATAAATATTCAGAAAACAAAAGTTTCATTTATATATTTTGATACTCACTGTACTTTAATTTCAAACCGTCCATTATGCCCCATCTTATATAGCCCTGTTCTTTTAGAATCCCATCTCACCTGAAGTAGAAGAATAGTTTTACTAAATCAACATGCAATACCCTTTCGCGTTTAAAGTGTTATGCAGCTCTTACTTGCAAATTTGACCTCAATCATTTTGATATTTTTGTTTTTGACCATTTTTGTTTTTTGATACTCTAACAAAAAGGAAGAAAATACCAAGGAGGCAATTTAAAACAATAATTGAAATGAAGAATTCTATTTGTTGAAGTATTCTGTTACGCACAGTTCATGGAAACTTTTTTATAAATTGCGAACAGAATATATTGAATCCGATTTAAAGAATTCACACAAAGGAAAATATTTTTAACGTAGATGATCTAATAATATAAGATGTAGATAATGCCAAAAATATCAATATCTAGAGAAAAGTCTATTCCTTTTATTTGGACTCTGTCAAGTGTATGTGGGATTTTGTAGCATGAAATTTCCTGATTTGTGGATCATACTAAATAAAACATTAACAATAATACCGAACTCCAAGTTAAATTCAAAAAGGAAGAAGTCTGTAAAACATGACAAAATTTGGTGAGCAACTCAAACACAAAATAAATGTATAAAATATATGACAAAATAAAGGATCCAGCAGCCAAAACTGTATAAACATACAACACAAACATGCAACACAACTGACTTAAAAATTCAAATATATCTGACAAAAGGTTTGTAGTTGGTAGTACATACAGTATAGTAAAACATAATGGCATATACACTATCCCGAAACAGAACAAATTGATTTAAAATATGAATGAAGGGTATACAAATTGAAAACAACACTACAATATATATATATATATATATATATATATATATATATATATATAAACAAGTCTAAATTGAAAACAACGTTATATATATATATATATATATATATTATATTTAAAACAAGTATCATGCACAATGAAATTAAAATCATATATTGATATTACATTGACGTAAGTAAGCTGCCAAAGATACAAGTCAGAGATATGCATACTCACCACAACCTTTCCTTCTGGTCTCACGTCTAAAACAGTCCCTAAACTTCCAACCCCACCATCTCTATTACCAAACTTCCAATCATGTCCTATATTATAACGAATTGTGACTTAAGATTTCAGTTTACTTATTCGTTATATGTATAGAATTGTAGAATATAAATACACATATAACTATCTTCGGTTGTAAGATGTAATATTTTCTTTAACCGTTAAAGATTAATGGAGAAATAAGTTAAAATCCACGGCAAAATGATAAATAGGGTTGACCCTTCCCTCGAATTTGTTTAATTTCCAATTTAATTGCATACATCGTACGGAAAGAAACGAAAGGAAAGAAAGATATAAAAATGAAGATTTCAAGAAAAGTCAGTTGTTGCACCACTTTGCACTAAAGGAAAGAAGTGGGTCATGGAGAAATGAAAGGACCCGGTTTTGTATATGATGAAAGCAAGCTGAAGGTATTTTACCTCCTGATATGTATCCATGTCGTCCTACAATCTTATATCGATGTCTGTACTTCGTAGTAAATACTATGCAGTAACCTTATAAACACTACGGGATCTTGTTCAATGCACAGAGTAAGGGAAAATCATCAGTATAATTATAAGTTTTGACATTAAGTCTTTTTGTTATATATTTTTGAATGTACAAGTATGGTTAATATTTATATCAACTGAAGTAAGTTGATTTTTTTTTCGTTTCTTTTAATTTATGTACTATGTTCGTACCTCTAACAACTCTGCAACCAACAGCTATCATCTCATCCACCAGTATTCTAGGTTCATCTACCTTTCGCAGATTGTATGTATTAGTTTCGTCACATTGCCTGTAGATATTGGTATCACCATTATCCCACTGAACTCTGGCTATACCTTAAAATAAGACAAGTCATTCAAATGCTGTATATTGTTTAACGGCGTGTCAAAGAATGTCTACATTGAAAAAATATATCTTATGTTAGAGTTAAAATCAAGTGAGGCAAGTGACATTTTAGTCAATCTATTGAAAGTTGTAAATATGCTCTAGTATAACCAGTTCAAATGTATCTATGCATGTTCCTATTCAATTGCTATTAAAATCTCTGTGTTTTTGCTTACAATTTTAGTGTAAGTCATATTTTTTTTTATTAAAACATGATATGAAAGAAGTAACGATAACAGAAAAATAGATGTCAATATATTTATGTATAATTGCCCGTATTACTAAGAAAATTTAAAGGACAGACAATCAAACCGTAAAACTATTTGTAAGCCATCATAATTTCATGGTACTGATGACAGTGTGTTATGAAGTTTTTATGAGATTTAAATATATGATTATATTAAATAAGGAATTTGATCTTAATTCCGATCACTAATTGAAGACAATGGTGTTAAATGTAAACAGACAGAACCAGCTACTTGATTGTATTTGGTCTTTTATTATTGATTTTCGCAACGTACACGATTGCACGAACAGTATAATAAAAAAAAAACTGCGCCCATAAAAGCAAACTCTCGACTGATCTTCGAAAATACTGTTGCGAAAATAAATATTTTTTTTTTCCGTTACGATATAAAAGTTGCATATATATATATATCTAATGAATGAATAAAAAAATATCTCCGATATAGTTAAATACAAATAAAACATTGAATTAAAGGCACAAGCAGTTCATCGTTTCAAATACACGTATTTTATACTTTTCTTGAACTGTGTTTTGTCCGCAATTGTTCAAGGTGTACCAATGGAGTCGTCAAAGCGTTTGCTGATAATGAATGTAAAACAACATTCAGCGATACACGATTAAAAAATTAAAAAGTCTAGTGTGTTACTGAAGATGGAGTTACTTAATTGTACATGATTCAAAAAGGACTGAAATCTCTATTAAAAGAATCTTGCTATCCAAACACTGGTATGCCTTTATATCAATGAAATATCATAGTGTCAAATGTGGAATTCGTAAAAATACTACTTTTTTTATCGGATTTACATTAATTTTTACCAAAAGACAGTAAAGTTCCATCTTTGAATAGCAATTTTCAGATGGAATACATTCAGACGACTCCAATGATACTTTGTTTTTTACTCAAAGAATTCATTAAAACGCTGGAATTTTGAGTTGAAAATATAATATACGACCTTCAGTTGCGACTCGAGTAAAGTGACTACTTTTACTTTCGATATGAAAATCCCATGCACGATTAAAATTAGATCCTTAATGTTTCATTCTACTATCGCCGTTTTCCTAGATTGTTTGCCTTTTTTTTTATTTTATGCACTTCAATAAAACATGCATTTTCACGCATTTTGTTTTTTTGTTAAAGTGCCTTAATATCACTGAGTGCGTTGAACTTGTCTGTCTCGTTCTGAATGCCATGAAAAAGTTGAACATTAACTTAACTTTAAATTTGGCAAACATCAGAACACATTATTTGGTCTATACAGTAGAGGTACATGTAATTCGGTGCGTTGAAGAGTTTTAAACAAAGAAATGCTATCATTGTATATATAAAAAAGAAGATGTGGTATTATTGCTAATGAGACAACTCTCCACAAGAGACCAAGTGAACCCGAAATTAACAGCTATAGGTCACCGTACGGCCTTCAAATATGAGCAAAGCCCATACCGCATAGTCAGCTATAAAAGGCCCCGAAATCACAAATGTAAAACAATTCAAACGAGAAAACTAACGGCCTAATTAATGTACAAAAAAATGAACAAAAAACAAATATGTAACACAGCAACAAACGACAACCACTGAATTAAAGGCTCCTGACTTGGGACAGGCACATACATACAGAATGTGGCGGGGTTAAACATGTTAGCGTGATCCAAACCCTCCCCTTAACCTGGGACAGTGGTGTAACAGTACAACATAAGAACAAACTATAAAAATCAGTTGAAAAAGGCTTAACTCATCAAATGAATACAAATAGAAATACATATATCAAAATCACATGGGCGTGACCGGGTACTTCTACATCCCAACAACAAAAAGACACTAAGTACAGATCTGATAGTACTCGCAGTTACTGACAGCTAGTGTTGTTGCGTCAATATATGTGGTTAGGTACTATAGTATTTATCTTCATAATGTATAATAACAGATCGTAACACACTCCAACAAATTAGTCACTGAAAATATGGAATAGATATCACATTCTGGTTACAATGCATACGATATATCGCTATTTTCGAATAACTAGAAAGTATTTTATTGTAAGGTGTCTCCTATTACAACAATGATTGGGCTGCGTAGGTTTTACGCTGTTTTATTGGAGGTGGCTAGACACCAAGTTAAAACAACCTTACATTACTAATTAGAAATTACTAATTATCATTAAGTAATGTATATCAGGTTTAAACGTGGCATTGAGATAATTATATAATTGAAATATAGATAACATTGTACACTAATATTTATCCATATAGGGTAAATTTCATTTGTTTTCATTTGAATTTTTTTTTTGTGTAACATAGGATAAAAAAAAAAATTTCTTAAAATATAAATTCAACTATAGATGGATAAACTAGAGAATGATTTACTCCTGTAGTTGTGTGTATTTATAGAATAAATATATGTATATAGGTCTTAAGACTCAAGCCTTTACTTGTTTAAACCACAGTAGTTTTATTATTTTTCGAAACATTTGATCAATAAATGTTTTGGGGTCAGATTAACAAGAAAAAAAAAGTTATTCAACATTTATTGATATTGTATTTGTGCAGGCTTTGCTGGTAAGATGTTACCTTCCTTATACTAGAGTAGATTAAGAAATGTAAATGGAAAGTGACAATTTATATTTGATCCGATCATAACAGACAGAACAAAACATGTTTTTGTCATTTTCAACTCTCCTTCAATGTTTAGAAATTTCCACCGCAGAATTGTTATTTATCATTATTTTACAATTAATGAGACATAACTGAATTTATAGAAAGGAAATTCTTGAAAATAGTCTATTTTCCTGCTTGAATTGTTTTACACTAGTCTTTTTGGGGCCCTTTATAGCTTGCTGTTCGGTGTGAGCCAAGGCTCCGTGTTGAAGGCCGTACTTTGACCTATAATTGTTTACTTTTTACACATTGTGACTTGGATGGATGGTTGTCTCATTGGCACTCATACCACATTTTCTTATTTATATATAATCTTGATAACATAGTTTTTTCAGGATAACATTCATTTGGTAGTGATGTTTTTATTAACATGACCAAAACAAACATATTCCCTTATATTGTGAGAGAGCTGTCTACATATTCCATTATATGTCTCTGGTGGAGAGTTGTCTTATTGGCAATTATACCACATCTTCTTATTTTTATATTTACTGCAGGGTTTGAAGCTCGTGCTGTGTGGATGCAGTAGAATGTGTCCCTGTGTCTGTGGTGTATGCCCTTATATTTTACAGTTATGGTTTTTTGCTTGTGAAAGAGCTGTCTACATATTCCATTATATGTCTCTGGTGGAAAGTTTTCTCATTGGTAATCATACCACATCTTCTTTTTGTTATACATACACATATGATCACAAGATTTATTTACCTGGTTGTGATCGATTTACATGCACATTTGTTGACTTAACTGGTGTTATGTTTATGAGTATTATGAATCACATGGCTTACAATATTATATGCTTAAAGTCATGAAATATATCAATGATGAATTCTAGCTACAGAAAACAAATATAGATATTATTTGCGCACCATGCGATTCTTGTCCAATGACGGTTCCAGCCAAATGATTATCCTGATTACCAAAATGCCAGTCTGGTCCACGTCGTACTCTATCACCAAGTTGTAAAGACCGACATGTTAATTCAGTAAAATAACCCCGTCTCTTCTCTACGCTTAATGGATTTACAAATTCAAGTACCATATCGAGGCAGTCGTTCTATGTCGATGCATGTATGAATGACAAGAAAAGTAAATAAATTAAAAAATAAATTTTAAAACTCCACAATTGGTGTATGTACTTTCCTTGACTGTATATTATGTTCAAATAATCGTTTTGACTATCTAATAGAGTAATCATTTCAAACAATGTCAACTTTGCATGATTTGGTTATCAGTTTCATAATTCAATTACAAAAATAACTGTATAATGCAAATATATTACAAAAATATTAACCGTATAACCAATCGATTAAATACTTTACTAACTTATATATGAATTTTATTCAAATGTTTTTTTTTAAATATAATTCAAATTGTTGTACAGAAACTTATAACTGACGATATTGACATCCTAAATTGTATTCATCAATGGCTTCAATAAACGCATAATTGTTTTATTCTAAACTACTGTCATGTGTTACTTTGAATACGCTGTAAGTGTTGCAGTCTTGTATTTGCTATATACCACGAAATATGTGTTTTAAACGTTTAACAAATGTCATACCGACAGTTATTGATTAAGTATTTTGTTGTTGCACGCAACTGGCTGAATGATTGCTGTCTCCTGCAGCAGTTGGTAAAATATTTTACAAATAAAGCAGTTTTGCAGAACGTTACAGACTGCAATTCGACAAAATGATGAGGAGTGGTAATAGATCTTTTGACCTAACAAATTGAAGTATTAAGAAAAGATATAGTTTTCTTGTAAAATAATTGATACTTTTGTGCAAACTTTAATGTATCATGAATGTCCACTTCAAGAGAAATTACATTAAAAGCTAAACCTTTTTTTAATCAATGTAATCAACGTTTCTCATGATACTAGCAGTGACTTTTGATCAGCCGGAAATTAATATTCCCTTATTCTTTTTAAAAATCCAGAAAGAATCTATATTTTTTATCTGTGTAAGAAAGCCATTTTTAAAAACCGGAAGTGACTTTGAGTTACTCTAATCAATTTAAATAGAAAGTGGAAACAAATTATTTTCGGGAACAGTGTTTGTATAGTTGTCATATAATTTTTGTAAGAAACAATATTTTCTTTTGGAATATGGGTAAATGAAAGTATATAATGACACCGATTCTGATGAAGGGAAATCCAGAAAAGCGCTGGAAGCACTACATTTCTAAACGTGTCAGACCACCAGTTCACCCACTCTAATTTAGAACATATTTAAAAGTAGCCCGACTCCGACAAAAAATATTGCTTTTGATGTCAGTGTTCACTTTAAATAACAAAGAAATTTGCACAAATGAAACTTTTGGTGAAAGAGAAATATATTTAGACCATTTGTGTAGCCAAAATGTACTTGTCCATGAGTTTGTATAACTAGTTTAGGATAAATGCGCACCATAATATACTTATTTAAGATTTCTAGAAAACCAAGGGTTATTTTTGGTAGTAGTTGTCTTCCGATCGGTCGTGTTTCGCATGAAAACTTTAAACATTGGTTACAATTTGGCTTATACATGTACAAGGTGATACATGTACAATTCAAGATATACCTGCTTTCTATGACGTTATAAAAATATTTAGAAAGCTATAAACATTGAAAACATTGATTCATTATATAAGGGTTTTGAGTTGGTGGTCTGACACCCAAAATGATTTATTTGTGTAAAATTGAAGGTTGAAAGTCCTAAAATATTATCCTCCGATCAACTGGTTGTTAATTCTACTGTATATGTAGTATTTTTCGTGTATTATGTTTTGAAGTGTTTTGTGTTTCAACTATTTACACATTTCACTAAAACTGTTTGAAATCAATCAATATTAACTTACATACGGATCATCACAACCGGATTCTTCTTTTATCTGTTGCTTTATTGATTCTCTGCTTTGGTCAGCAGAATGCATAATATTGGAAGCTATTCTGGCAGCAATAATCTGCAAGAAATTAAATGATGATGGTGGGAGTTTCTAACGACCTTGACTGGCTATACAGCCCTCGCACGGTCGGTAATTAAATGAAAAAAACTGCTTGTGCATCCAATAACATCAAACAAAAATATCAGAAAGAATATTAAACGAAAAGATGTTTTGAATTTCTTTAAAAAAGAGGAGAATGATACATAGGAAAAATTGCACCATATGTTTTCATATGTTTAACATATGTTTTTCATATGTTTGAAAACATATGTAAACATATGTTTAGGCCCGACATGAAAACATATGTTTTCGAACATATGAAAAACATATGGAAAACATATGAAAAACATATGTTTTTAAAATCATATGAAAAACATATGTTTTTCATACATGTAAACATATGAAAAACATATGTTTTTCATATGTTTTTTACAAACATATGTTTTTCATATGTTTTCATACCTGGCCTAAACATATGTTTTCATATGTTTGTCCTAAACATATGTTTTCATATGTTTGGCCCAAACATATGTTTTCATATGATTTTATCTTGGTCCTAAATATATATTTTTTATATGTTTTTAATTGCTCAAATGGATTTATTTTCTAATAGATTCTAAACATGGTTTGTATATATATGTATTTTTTTTTGCGATAGGTTTTTAAGGGTAACGTTTTGATTTTTTTTAATATGTTTTTCTTTAATTTGTTATCTTTTTTTTCTGTCAAGAACTCATTTTGAGTGTAAATACTTCATTGTGATGAGTTGTTGCTTTAAAAAGTAAAAAACTCAAAATACCAAACTCCACAGAAAATACATGGCAAAATCAAAAGCTCAAACAAATAAAAAACACTAAGTGCTCCATAATTTTTATATAAAGTAGTTTTTTTTTTTATTAAGTTGTTGTCTCTTCTATTTTCATATTTTTGTCTCTTTGACATACATTGTTCCACATTTCTATTATTATATTCTATTTTCAGTTGTTTGTCTCTTCAACATACACCATTTATAGTATTGTCTGTATTCTATTTTCATATGTTAGTCTCTTTGACATACCCCATTTTCTATTGTCTATATTCTATTTTCATGTTTGTCTCTTTGACATACTCCATTTCTATTGTCTAAATTATATTTTCATATGTTTGTCTCTTTGACATACTCCATTTCTATTGTCTATAGTATATTTTCATATGTGTGGCTCTTTGACATACCCCATTTCTATTGTCTATTATATTTTCATATGTGTGTCTCTTTGACATACCCCATTTCTGTTGTCTATATTATATTTTCATATGTTTGTCTCTTTGACATACCCCATTTCTATTGTCTATATTCTATTTTCATATGTGTGTCTCTTTGACATACATCATTTCTATTGTCTATATTCTATTTTCATGTGTGTCTCTTTGACATACATGTGTACTGGCATTTCTATTGTCTATATTCTATTTTCATGTGTGTCTCTTTGACATGCATGTGTACTGGCATTTCTATTGTCTATATTATATTTTCCTATGATGTATGTGATATTTCTATTGCTATATCACCATACACAGATGTGTAATTGTCTACACTGCTTGCTATTACTGGTGCATGTGTATGCAGCTGCTTTTTGGAAATATCATGTATGATTAAGAAAGACAACTAGATTGACTTTGAGCTCAATATTGTATTAATTAAAAATTATTGTTCCTTTGGTTCTGTTTCTTCACTTTTCATTTCCTGCAAGTAGAAATAAAAGAACAGAGTTTCAATGTCCACCTAGTCGCACATTTTTAGCTCATCACTTGGCGTCCGTCATCGTCGTCGTTAACTTTTTACATTTTTAACTTCTTCTAGAGAACCACTGAATGGATTGGAAACAAAATATAGCATGAATGTTCTTTATGAGGTGCTGACCAAGTGTTGTTACTTTGTTGCCGATCCATCATCCAAGATGGCCACCAGCGGGGGGCTTAGTTTAACAAAGGACCCTACGGGAAATACATACAAATGTCTTCTTTTAGAGAACCACTGAATGGAATGAAAGCAAATATAGCAATATTAAACCAAATTTGGCCTCAAACATTATTATAAGTATCTGTTATGATTTTTATCTTTTTTTTATATGATTTCAAAAACCCAAGTAGAGTCATGTGAGCGACACAGGCTCTTGAGAGCCTCTAGTTTATCTATCAAGGGGCAATATTTACAAAAAACAACATGTTTTTTTGTTCTCAAAAATATTTATAAATAAAAAATATGCTTGGGGGAAAAAAAAGTTCTTTTTCTTGTATACTAAATATTTCAAACTGACCTTCAAGGGCATTACTATAATAGTATACTATAAGTTTAATAAAAAAAATTGAGAGCATTTACAAGGCCATTTTCCATAAATTTAATATTTCCAAGAGGCATAACTCTTTTGAAAAAATTCAATCGGCCATCATTACAACTGCCAGTTGGACATCTACACCTTACAATAATTCCATACACCAAATATAGTAAGTATAACTTATTGCTTCTAATACCTGAGATATTGACCACGAAAACTTTCTGACAGAGTAGACAGACACTAGCTATAGGACCTTGCAAGGCACCCACATACTAGGTAAATAGAAATATCCTATTACCATGATTACTATAAATAATATTAATAAGAGAGAAATTAACATTACAAAAAAACTTTAACCACAGACTGAACCTAAACTTTAGGACAGCGACGCCGCCCCTGGCGGAGTCTTGGATCACTGTCTCGCTTTCGTGAAATAAATTTGCAAGCTTGACAAAAAGCAGAACATGTATTTCAGAAATAGAAATTCTATGCAATTATTAATACTTATATGCTGTTATGGTCCTACATATTCTTGTGTGTTCAATATTTTGGCATTACACAAATTCATGCTTTCTTAGACTGTTTGAAATAACAAATGTTTTGTTGTTACATTAATTGATTAAATCTGTTGAATGTGAATTGATAGATATTTTAGTTTGGGAAAACATAATTTTTGCATCTTTTATTATTTTGTTATTTCTTTTTAAGTGCTTGTTGATGAGTCCAGCCCTTTCTGGCTGATTTTGACATTTGTTTCTTATGTTGGGTGCTGTCTGCCATACTGTGTGTAGTTTTATTTTTTTCATTGGTTCACATTTTTTCATCCTTATACAAGTTATAGCAATAATAGGTTACTTTATGGTATGGATTTTGATCATTGTTTATGGCTGTACAGTGACCAGCAAATGTTAACATCTTCGTCCTTTGGTTTTTTAATTGATAGTTGTCCTATTGAGAATCATACATGTACCTCATCTCCTCATACATGTTAAACATGGTATATCTATATGCTGGTTCATAAAAAATCTTAAAAGGAAATTATTCAATTGTTATATGTTTGAAAACTCTTTCCTATAATGCAAAAACAATAATTGATTGATTTTCTAGCTTATTTTTATGTTCAGTGGCAAATATTTTATGTATATTCAAGAAGAGAACAACTTTTAAATATACAATTCATATTACATTGTAATATAAACAAATGCTATAATTATTTTAACTTCTGACATCTCATGGGGGGTCTCATTGGGGGGTTCTGATCCCGGATCCCGCTTACTGTTTTGTCAGATTCCCGTATCCCGCTTACACTATGTAAGTAAGCAATTCTCATTTTTTTTGTAATTTCCCGTTTCCCGCTAGACTTCATTTCCCGTTTTCACGGCACAATAATTTGACTTTCACGTGTCACGCATACAAAAAATCGGCAATCCCGGGTCACGCTTAGACCCCAATGAGACCCACCTCATGCGTGTGTGTGTGTGGAGCAGAAGAAGGATTCCTTGATAAAATTGAGAATGGAAATGGGGAATGTGTCAAAGAGACAACAACCCGACCAAAGAGCAGACAACAGCCGAAGGCCACCAAATTGATGCATACCTGACATCAGAAAGACATAAATAAACAACAGTATACATGATATACATGCTGTAACATGTACAATTACACTTGAAAAAGTTTTAAATAGATAACATTAAATTATTTAAATTAACTGCAATTCTACAGATGAACTTACTTTGCAATTGATACCAGTTCTTTTTGCCTGACATCCGCACCTACATGTACACCAGTGATTCTAATACTGTACTTTCCTTTCATTTGGTAACCATGGTAACAAGCTAAAATTGTAAATCTTAATTTAATCCAGAAGTCCAGACAAAAACAAGATCATTTTTGTAGACGTAGTATGAACTGATGCTCACTAATTTATATTTTTACTTTTGAGTGAATGGAAACAATATGTAACAAACAAAAAGATCAACAGTGTAACTAATATTAATAATATATGTATAGCCTAAGCCCGTCTTCGTATAGTAATAACTTTTTCTAATATAAAATGATCTACTCTGCTGTCTACAGTTTAAAATAAAATGCTCCCCAGGGTGCAGCTTGATATGACCACAGAGGACGAACCCCAAACAGATGGGGCAAGTATTGACACAAAATACAAGCTTGATACAGCTCTGAATTTGGTTTGTGATTAAATATTTGACACAGCATACATGGCATAGGTTTCTGACACAGAATGAATGTGGTTTAAGAACTTAAAAATTTCAAATTAGACATTTAGCTATTATGGTCCAATATCCTAAATCTAAATACATGGTTAACGTTAGATTCAGCATATAAAAGAACCCCAAGAATTCAATTTTTTGATGAAATCAAACACAGTTTAATTATGGACCCTTTTAACCTCAATGTGGACCAATTTGATAACGAAGCCCAAAAATCAAAAATCTAAATACATGGTTAGATTCAGCATATCAAAGAACCCCATATATTCAATTTTTTTTAAACTCAAACAAAGTTAAATTTTGCACCCGATTTGGACCAACTTGAAAACTGGGCCCATAATCAAAAGTCTAAATATATGTTTAGTTTCAGCATATCAAAGAACCCCAAGAATTCAATTTTGTTAAAATCAAACTAAGTTTTATATTGGACCCTTTGGACCTTAATGTACACCAATTTGAAAACGGGACAAAA